TTTCGTCACTGTTTAGTTAGGTTATAATGATCCAAATGCTTGGACAAATTACGATATTAATCAATGAAAGGATGAAAGCACTTGGATTATTCCTAACTGATTATCGACTGAATATCAGTTCGCAAAGTTTGTCAGATTGATGTCAGCAATATACCAAATATATTCCGTGAATGTGGTTACAGAATCTGATACTCTATATGACGGTAGATACACTTCCAGCGATCTCCGGGGATCATCAGAAGTGCTATGAATGTGTAATTTCTACATGAAATTGCCGCGGAAATAGTATTTCAGCTTATACTATACAAATACATTGAAGCTTGATACATCCACACAATAATTCATGTCTCTATGGTAGTAGGTGTAGAGCTATTCATATGAGGTGTTTCAGATTGTGAGATTCAGAGGGTGTTAGAACTCGCAAAAATGAAAGTTCATGTAGATAGTTCTGGGGCTTTGTTTAAGAGATATAAGATACAAGTCTATGAGGTGAAATGAAAATGTATTTTCTGGCACAACTTGATTCACCGTAATTATTCAAGTGGCGCCTCAGAATGTTACCTGATTGATATTATTTATGGTAATGAATAATCGTTCAAAAACTCAGGAACAAGTTTCTATAGATATCCGAACTAAGAAGAAGGAGGAAATAAAATGATCGATCAAAAGGAAGAAGGAAAGCTCAAAGTCATATTCACTTACAAAGATGACTTTGAGCTTTTTTTCTTCCTTTTGAAAAATTCCACTCCACTTTGAGCAAACATGGACTTCTACCAGAGATTAAATTGATGGACGATGAAAGGGTGTTTATAAACACATAACATAGGCAATACTAAAGAGGAGTATTCTCAGATAAATCATCAACATCAAAAAATGGATAAATACAGGGTGTCTGTAAAATGTTGGGACATTACTCGGCTGTGGACTCGTGGGATGAAATCAAGTTGATTTAGGCCAACGTACCTTTATCCAAAATCGTCTCGTTGAGTTTGTACAAAGCGTGGAAGAATTTTTGGAGAAAAATAAAATTGCTCATATAAAGGGTAGGTACGCTGAGATCGATTTTCATAATTTTTAGCATGGCATGTTCTGTGACTGTAAGTCACGTTTTGAGATGTTTTTGATCATCATCAGTGATCTGCAAGTGTTTCAAACAACCATGTTGCCGTACAAATTTGGTGAGAACTTTTCAGAGGTCAGACTGGAAACTTCCAGTTATTTTTCCAGAAATATATTCCCTTCAGAAATATTCTTTGTATTGTGTTAATTTCTGATAACTCTCGAGGTTCATTCACAAATATATGATTTCTGATCTCAGACATCTTATGCATTTTTTAGAAAAATAATCTGGTTGGGACATGGCTTGACTGTAGATTCCTGGGATAAAAATAAGTTTATTTTAGCCAACTTATCTATATCCATAATCGTTTCGTTGAGCTGGTACAAGGCGTTAAAATTCTCACCTTAGGTCCTGAATAATTATCACTAAAATTGTAACGCGAGAGTTCTTGTAAAGCCCGCGAGGACCAGCAACATATCAGTTTGATCAAAATAAGAATATACATTGTAGCCATGTTCAATAAACAGTCCGACTAACTAGATTAATTTTCAGAAATGCGCAGGATTCATCAGATCATGAATCAATTATTTGAAAATGAACCTAGAGACTTATCGAAAATTAATACGATACAAAAAATATTTCTGAAGGAAATATCTTCCTGGAAAAAAAAACTAGAAGTTTCCAGTCTGACCTCTGAGAAGTTATCACCAAATTTGTAATGTAACATGGTTGTTTGAAACACTTGCAGGTCACTGATGATGATCAAAAACATTTCAAAACGTGACTTACAGTCACAGAACATGCCATGCCGAAAATTGTGGATATCGATCTCAGCCTACTCTTCTCATGAGCAAAATCATGTTTTTCCAAAAAAACTTCAACACCTTGTACCAACTCAACGACACCATTCTGGATATAGGTAAGTTGGCCTAAATCTACTTGTTTTTATCCCAGGAGTCCACCGCCAAGCCTTGTCCCAACCTTTCACATACACCCTGTATATATGAAAAAATACATTGAGAATTCGCATTCTCTATGTGATGAAAATATCAATTTTTTCTCGGTTTATTCAACAAAAAACAACTATTTTCCTGACTATATGCCATATCTATACTGAACACACACAATAAGAATTTGAAAACAAAATCTTCTGAGGTTGAGAATTTGCATTGATCAAAGGAAATATTTATATGCACATGATATCATTCTGAATATTCAACAGGAAACAACTACGTTCGAATGAATTCAATCTACCATATTTTATCAATATAGATTCTCATTTCTAATGTCAACTTTTCAAAAATTGATAGTGCAAGGGGTGATTCCGAATGATGAAACATATCGAACATCCAGAATCGACTCAACAAAAATAGAAATATAACGGTATATAATAATATATTTACTTTTCCAGAGAATGTTCATTCGTAAAATAACTTCCCATATAGAGTCAACAACATCGTATATTCTTATCAAATATATATTTTCCATATTCACTGCACGTTCGATATTCGGCGATAAAGATAACGTTCTTTCATTTCCGATATTATTACAGTTATTTATTTACGACAGTGTCCTTATCGAATTCCAACTTGAACGGTTCTTCCTCTCGATATCGGTAAATATGGAACCGACATTTCCTTTGAAGAACAAAAGAAGGCTCAGAAAGCCATTCAGCTTCTGTTCTGAATGACAAATTTATCCTGACGGGGTGGCCATTCGTCCATAAATCTGAAAAACCTGAGACAGCAGCTGAAATAATGCCATAGATCACTTTCTTTTTATTCGATACTGATGTATGTTTGTTTTCTATGAAAGATACTACATTATTACTTGCGCAAAATATTCTTCACCAATCACCTGAGGAATCACCATTATTGAAAGATTTCCTTCAAGAAGTAACACTGCCAATAGTGTCAATTATATGCCTACGCAACTAATCAAATTAAACATTTATTATATTTTCCCAAATGTGAACAAAATATGATATGTATGGTAATTCTACACTCATCATGCGATGGTTTTTTTTTCCACTATTCCACTCTTGATCTCGAGAACCAATCAGAATCGACCATTTTCACGGTTTCTTCTGTATCCTAGCGATATTTTTTGTTTATTAAATTTTATCGGACTTGCTCTACCAATAGAGAAGCCGAATTGACCCACACGTGACCAACAAACCTTGTTTATCAGCGATAAAATTTTGACATCGTGACTGGTCAAGATTGCTTTGGGCTCAAACCTGAGACAATAACCTAAGTACCTACTTTATTTTATTTACTTATAATTCGCGTTAGTGAGACATCTCATACGAGAGGCGAGACAATTTCATTCTGGCTGGACGTTTCATGTGTAATTTAAAAAGTTTGCATATTTGTTGACGGTCTGACACAACAATACTAGAATTCGAATTCCTTTTTGAAGTAATCTTCTTCAATCACTCAAGTTATTGTGACTACAATTATGTAGCGCAACTGATAGGGTTGTTGCGCGAAGATACGATGGTAGAAATCTTATCATTTGTGAAGTTTTTCACATTCACTATTGATTTCCAGCTGTGTCCATCAAGTAACGGCCGAGTCAAATAAAAAAAAATAAGATCATTCAAAATGTAATCATCGAAGTTGGAAGCACATTTCATTAACAATTGATTTCCTTGTTTATTTTGTTTCTGAGGAATGTATTCTCCTCGGTATCCTCTTAATTGGCCATCACTTGAAAGAACTGAAACCTAATTGATTTATTCAAAATAGCTCCAAGCAATATAGATTTTGTATATCTACCGTTTCATTCCTTCTCATTGATGTTTTCTACAATACTAACGTTTAATTGATTCTTGGTAAGTAATAGTGATAAGATACCAAAGTAGAAGACATTTTTATATGTCCGAGCTGTGAGCGAGACGATTATAATGTTTTTACCCAATGGGTACAATGATGTACAGCTTGACCATTCTATCTAGGTCTCTGAAAATTGGATGCGCAGTAGACTAGTCAGCGAAGAGTGAACATCGGTTAGATCTGTACAGTACGATTGTAAAAGGCGTAGTGGATCTATGTCACACACTAACCATCTTCGTTCATCGTTTGTGCATCTCAGGTGCCAAGCTAGATTGGTCAAGTTGTACGTAATTCAACGTCTATTCAACGTTGAATGGGTGATAGTAACGTCAGCCATCAAATTTTCAACGTTTCGTCAATCATGTTATGAAAATTACTTTTTATAAATACGTTTCATCAACATGTTCAACGTGATCATCTAACGATTTGTTGTAAGTTTGTTGAAAATATGTATTTTTCAATTTTTATATACCGTTTGGATGAAAAAACATTATTTACCTCGACACGCGCAATGATTTGCAATAGTTGGGTTACCTATCAATTATCAACGTTTTCACAACGTGAGTTATTCCACTTAAGTAGCACATGTTTTACTAATATAATGGAGATTGTTTTTACCTCAGACCTTCAGTATATCATGAGAAAGTATCAGTAATGACATGTGAATTCCTTCAATGCGTGAAAGGAATTTGAACTTTTCAGTACCTATTCTGTTTCAAGATGTGATCAGTTCACATTTCAGTGAAGGTGATATCTGTGGTGAGATGGCAAAACCAGATATGTCGTTTTTAATCGTTTTACAGGACAACGATTTGAAGTTTTCGAACTCACTATATAATTTTATAAAATGAGCGATAGGAATAATTGTTCTTATAACTGGATAGTTGTGTGGAAATGTACGTATTGTTTAGGTATGTGAAATATGAATATGGTATATTTTTTATTTTTCGAAAAAAAAAAGATTTTGTCAACATATCTGGTTTTGCCATCTCAAAATTCCCCAATATCATCGACATACTCAACATATTACTGATAAAGAGTAAGGGTAATGAAAGGAAAAAAATCATGCAATTTTTTTAATGAATTATGAAAATAATACAATTTTAGTCCTCGGATTCGGAATCTGAGTTATCATTCAATTCATCATATTCCTTCGCTTTGCCAGTTCTCGGTAGATTTTTGTAAAAATGATGACAGTCCTTGTCTATGAGATCTAGCATCGATAAAAGGTCTTTTTTCTTCAAAGGATTTATATCCAGTGGACCACTGTATGAACGTGGAACTGCGCCGATTGAAGAATGATCGATCGATGTCCTACATCTCATTCTGCCCCGTTTCAAATCTAATGTTTTGAATGGTACTGTTTCATCCAGAGTGTACTTGAATTTGATAATTCCAAATTCTTTCGTGTATCTAAGCCACTTGATTTTCAACCAAGAGACCTTATCACCATCAGTGTCGCACGTTCTTTTCACTAGAATATCACCTAATAGTTTGGAAAATGCCAGAAAATCATCTTGAGTCATATCAATCACGCTGAATTTGGATTTTGCTCTAAGCGAACGGATAAATTGACACCAGTCACGTGGCACCATTATTTTGAAGTCATCTGAAATTTGTTTCTTACTTCTTTCAATTCTTGCATGGTCACTATCACACTCAAGTCGTGTATGACCAGGTAATAGAAACTTCTGATCAACAAATTCGATCGTAAGTTTCTTCTGAAGGGCGTATTGAAACATTGCTGCCATATTGGCATTCCGATTCTGCCCCCCACAGGTGTCTGAATATGTTGTGACATGCTGAACAGTATCAGGTAAGTCCATAATCTTCTTAAAAATGCATGAAGCAATTTGGTCAGATCCTCTTCCTCCAATTACCTCATGCCACATAAAACAGATAGATGATTCAGTAGAACAACAGTCTCGAACTGTAAGATTGTAAACAGACAACACCCGCTTATAGTAGACTATGTTGGTAGACAGATACGGAGCTGGTAAAACTTGTTGCAGGTCGAAAACCAATACCTTTCTACTATTATCTTCTTTAGCTGATTCTTTATCTTTCCGTTTGCCTCATTAGCTTCCATAATATGTTCATTGTGGAGCTGGTTGAGGTTTTCCTTTCCTGCCTCGGTAGTAGCACTCTTTTTCAGAGCCTTGAATTCATCGCATTTACGACAAGTGTCAATATAAGGTTGTTTGAACTTGTAACCAGTTTGATTGAAAACGTTGCGGAAAACATCATAACTTGCAGATTTCAGCAATCCCATTTTCATTCTTTCTTCCTTGTACTCTATGTGCATTCGGCGTATAGTGAGATGGCTTGGTAAGAATATCTTATTTGAGTTATCTCTCCGTGAGTAGTGACTTTCATGTCTTGGGTATTGGTCAATGAATACTCTGATTGCAATCCGCTCGTCGATCAACTTATTAGGAGGAATATGTTTTCCTCTCGAATCTACTTCTATGAACCCGTCTTCTGATGCATTGAGTTTCTTAACGAGAAGGTTCAGCTGATTTGATGTTATGCCATGTAATTTGGTAAACAAGTTTTTGCACACTACTACCTTTTGGGATCCTAAGAGAATTGAGTAGGTTACAGTAATGGCTCGATTATGTGGTTTTCCTCCCTTCGTACCTCTACCTATTGAGTGAAATTTACATTTAGAGATGGTCATCCGTTCGCATGATACTTGCTTACGCAAATCAGGGGGTTTATTGTTATAATTAGACCAAATCATTTTTTGTTGTTCAGGAGAACAATTCTCGAAGCATTTCTTTTTACAACATTGCACTATGATGTTGAATTCTTTTGCTGGATGTGAAATTCCCTTCCTATTTTCATAAGTCAGCCCTAAATGTTTTCTCTTCTGTTCTTCTTCACGTTGTCTCAAACCTATTTTCCGTTTTTTCTTCACCATATCCGTCACTGTTCCCTCACTTTCTGAACTTTCTGAATCCTCAGTTGCAGTCTCATGTATTATGTGCTCTGTATCTTCCTGTGATACAATATCTGAAAATAATATTCGTTGGAATATTATTATTTTGATTAAAAAAAAGAACGATAATAAGCAACAATCAATGACAAAACTCACTATTAGGAGTCATTGGAGTGGCAGGACGAAATTGTTTGATGATTCTTGTCATTTTGTTGGAGCCATCGTCTTCTGGACACCAATTTGGATCAACATCCGAATCATCTTGATCCTGTAAGATGATATAGAAAGGTACAATAGAATGTGGTGATAACTATGAATCTTCTCAATTACCAGATCCGAGAAGTTATCAGCATCAAATTCAGTATTTTTTGAACATGTAGGCAAGTCTATCTCGTTTATTTGAAAACATCCATTCCCATCAACATTGAAAACAGGTTTTTCTGAATGAGGTTCAGGATGAGACCCATCATTATGTCCCTGCAAATATAGTGGTTTCTGATAATATTGGAGAAGTTTTACAAATGTGCCTGATTTTGAATTATTCGAACTCTATTTGTATGAAATAACTAATTCTTTGTTTTTTTATTTATATTATTCGCAACGCTCAAAATATTTCTGCATGAGATGAAAACCTAACGAAAATTCTGATATGATTGCATATTCCAAATTGATGAACTCATAGTTGAATGATTTATTAATTTGAGTTTCATAAATATTTGAATATATTCAAAGCCACCTGTTATGTGCTATTGTTCCTTCTGTGTGTTACTCACCAAGTTTGAACAACAGTCGATGTCAATTCCAGTTAATTCTGTCAATGTTGTTCCTACAACCTGAGGAATGTCATCTGTTTTCTCATGATTCAAAGTGGAATTTGCATCATTTACCTCATCTATAACATTGAAGGATTCATGAGATATCAATGGAACATGGCCCGTATAATCGGTTTTCTCATCTGATGGGTTATCTCTGTTATAAACATTTAATTCAGGTAACAAACTCGTGCAGCAGTGCGCAACCAATAATCCTCTGGACAGAAAATCTTTTCCATATTTGTTACAGATCATATTCTGAATTTACTGAAAAATAAAACAGGTTTAAACTCAGCGCTTATAGTAGGTAAATCACATCTGGGTATACTCACGTTTTTTGTCTCAACACTGATTGCACAAAACTCAGTTCATTCATAAGAAAATCATGAATATGTAGGTATAGAACTGTTGAATCTACTCACATAATCATACATTTCATTCACTGAATAACTCAACACAACAACAACATAACATTTAGTCGAAACAGGCAATCGAAATGGATTCCAACCAAAAAAACATACCACTTCATCAGTAGTTCTATACACATACCCATAATATTCACTTGATGGCGAGACCAAACATGTAACATATCACACTGCGCATAAATCATTTGCGGTGAATTAACAAGTTGGCAAAATCAAATATGCATACATATCTTCATTTACCATCCTGAAAATTTGATATTGTTACTCGAATGAATCGAAGTGGGTAAAAGTATGTATGTCAACATATTGTTTTTTGCCAACTTTCAAGCCGATACTCTAGACTGAGAATGTCATTGTTACTTTATTATATATCAACATACATTATTTTGCCCTCTTGTAAAATCAATCATCCAAGAAAATCATTGACGCGAGATATTATTTATGAAACTTATGTGGTATTGCCAAAGTCAGGAGCATGTTTGTATTCGACATATTTGTTTTTGTCACCAAGAATATAATCATACAGAGATAGTTCTGACACAAATGGTTTTGCCATCTTATAGATCTCATTATTACGAACATATATGTGTAAAAAACTCAAAATGGCAAAATCTCGACATGTATGGTATTGCCATCTCACCACAGATATAGTCCCGAAGAAAACGATGAGATTCATCACAAAGAAATTTATTGGAATATGGAGAGAATAGGGGAAACTTCCACACTCAAATCGAAATCTGTAAATCTTTTCGACAGTTCCTATTGCCATTATTATCTTCGTGAGGTTTGCAGTCCATCAGTAGTTTTTTTCCACGTTTAATATATAATTCATATATATCACTCGAAATCAGTATTTATCTGACTAGGAACTTCTCTGCAAGAGGTTTGTTTATATGAATTTGTAGCACATTCACATCAAGGGGCAATACCTAGCATCGATAAACTCTCAAAAAAGTCATCGACATCTTGAGTAGGTATATTTACACAGTGGTGGATCAACAGTATGTATAAGTATATAGGAATAAGTATTATTTCATTTCACAAGTTCATCTACTGATATCCTTTCAGAAACACTGCAACTGATTGACAATATCGATTACCTCAACATGAAGCCTTTCATCAACTGAAAACAAACTCTTATTCGCGAGATTCACGAAGTGGGCGACATCTAGGTTACATAATACGAACTTCAAACTGTGGGAAAACAAACTGTTGTCTATGGATAAAGTGCATAAAGTGCAGCTTGCTGTAGCTATAGTCAAACTTGTCAATTACATAAAGTGTTGGCACTGTTGGTTCAGTTGGTTAATTTTTTTACATCATTACATTCTTATTAGTTTAGTGAACAGTGAACAGGTAAAGAATTGGGGATAGTTTAAACGATTCAAACTAATTATGACGAGCAAATCAATTGACATATAAAAGAACAGCTACAACATGTTTACAATAACCAGATTGTCCTGCTTTGCATGAACAAATACAAATCCATTGTTCTACAGGAGTTCCTCTGGACCCCAACTTCAATTTTACTTCATGTGTGGAAGATTTCATCGCCGAAGTTTGTAGACAAAGTGCAAAAATGTGCCTTTTGTTGAAGTCTTCTGCCTCACACAAAATCACATGATTAGCACGGAGAACTGCTTCTCCTTCCACTACTGGTCGGCTTTTTCCGTCTGAACAGAGCAAAATATCTGCCAAAAAAACATCTACCAACAGGCATTATTAGCGTTTTCGACCGAATGTTGACAATTGATGTCAAGATATTTAAAAACATCACTCTTATCAGTACACAGTACACAAGCTAATGGCACTGAGGGGATTGAGTGAGGATTGAGTTTGTTTTCCCCCAGTTTTGACGTAGCTTTGACATGGAACGATGAAAACCGAGCGCCACCTGGTGACATTGATTCCCGCGAATATGTCTTATTGCATATGTTTATCAGGTTTATATTCAGAGAATACCTAGCTGTGTACAAAAAATGCTGGAAACCCAAATACAATCAATGCAACCTTCTGTCACAACTGTTTAGCAACAAAGCATATATCAGACAAACTAGAAAGCCCGTTAAAATGGATACAAAGTACATCGAGCACATTTGAGAGTAAGATAACAATCATAACATGGCATTGAGCATTTCAATTATGTTGAAATATCATAAACATAAGCCTAGGATGGACAAAGTAGTATTTATATATGAACAACGATACGATGACCTACGAAATAAGTTATTATACAGTATGTCCAAGATAAGGTTGAACAGCATGGGGATCTCGGAAACGGTAGGAGATACGAAGTCGCTTGAATGGGGAAAAAGTTGCGCATTCGGAGGCTCATATCAAGAGCCTTCGAAAATTTTGAAAATTATTTTTAGTTTTTGAGTTATATCGAAAAAAGTGAATTTTTGGAATTTCTATTTTATTTTTTTTTTCTCCGTCATTATCAGAGATACAGAAAAACTGAAAATACTTTTTCATTGCAACTTTTGATGAGGTTTAACGTGGTAATACCGATTTTGTTATGCGACGTTTCTTATTCGCGGAACCATCATCAACTTTTGTTTTTTAAATACGGTCCTGATAATTATTTCACAGATTCTGAAAGGTTTTCTTATTCTGAATTCAACAATGTACTATACAAGGTGATTCGAATGTGTTTCGACCTATTTCTATCCATCATCAATGTTTTTTCGAACTTCCAAAAGAAAAAAGCCATCAGTTCCACTTTTTTTTTTTTTATTGTAACATGAAAATTGACCATTTTCATTTTACAGGGTATATATAGTCTAAAATTTATAAACAAATATAAAACTTACCAGCATAAAGATACCAGCCCATTAATGTTGATCTTTATTGTAATTAGGTAATGGGATGGTATCCTCACAATGATATGCTCATGGCACTCACTCTGTATAATACCCTTTATTCAGTTAAAAATACAATAATAAATAGTATTCATCTCTATATTTCATCCAGTCTAAGAAACATCTACAGGTGATGGGCTGGAAATCTTGAAGGCACCTAAAAGTAAACAAACATTAATGAATTGATGAATATATAGAAATTTGAATGAACTTACCTGAATAGAAAGTGTCCAACCAGTGACTTAGGAGTCCTACCATCCCTGAAGTAATTTGAAGATTCATTGATTGTAACCCTGGGATAAATGAAAGAATTCATTAAGTTTACCAAGTTTAGGTCAAAGTATAGTTAATACATTTCAGCTCAAAAACTCTCAAAGTAAATAAGTAACATGCTAGGTAACCTATTGATACATACCTCGTTAATTATGGGTTCAAAAATAAACATTTTCTGATAAAAATGGGAATTTCAAGATTTTCCTTGATAGGTTATGTTGTAATTATGTCACTGATGTCAGTGGCGAATTTGACACTTGTGTTGTCTCCTTACAGTAGTTTCATATTTTTCTTCGTTGGAATTTTTGCCACGTTGAGACAACGGCCTTGTGTCGATTTTGGATGAAGTGAGACGAAGCCGAATTTAGGTTATTGGTTACCGTAGTTCCGTTTCAGTACCCGAACTCCGGTAGATTTGTGTCGTCGGTTGAGGGTCAGGAAAATTAGTTTATTGTTTCCCGCTAGAATTCGAAAATTTCTATGCTGGTAGGACTGGTTGTCCAAAAGTCGTCAAGTTCTTCAACCAATCAGGAATCTGGAAGCAGTCACATGGTACAGGATTTACAGGAAATGTGTTTTTCATGTCCATTCCACAGGTGTGCAGAATCCAAAATAATGTTTGTGAAGGTGGAATTTTAGTTTTTTTATATGGTTTTGTGTCCTCTGAAAAGAGAGGTATACACCTTCCGGCTGAGTCCGCTGCCATCAGCCATCATTTCTTGCGAGCCGTTCGTCCAGGATCGTCGACGAAAATGTGGCATTTCATTTTGGAGAGTTCAAGTGAGCAGGCCATCCTGTTAGGAGGTGAGTTTTTATTCTTTGGGTATTAGGGCTCATTTGCATCTTAGAAACCTTTTCCTGTATTGAAAGTGAATCTTTCTTTCTGAAGATTTGTGGGCCTGTTTTCGAGAGAGGCTTTTATGGGGGTCGCCATTGACCACGTGGGTAGTTGATCGAATCAAGAAAGCCGAGTTGATTCTTTCAATTCAACCAGCAGTCCAGGCCAGTTTAGCTGCATGGCTCCAGGCTCCACCTGGAAATAGCAGGAAGATTTTCTTCGGGGGCTCCAGTTCCCTTCAACCAACTTGTAGCAGCCCAGGCCATCGTGAAGACAGGGACACTGCTGGCTTCAATAGTCGACTAGGTCCAGGAATACATCCCAAGCAGCTTTGTCTTGTCCAGTTTTGGGTATCTGCAGGGGACACTCACCTGAAAGGCCGAATGTCAACCTCTACCTGGGTCCTGAGCCACTAGGCCCCTTCCTGAGCCACTAGACCCCACATCGTGTGGGTAATCACCTGTAACCCATTTTGGTTACCACTACCAACAAGTAAGAAATTTCCATAAAGAAACTTCCAGAAAAGGCACCACCAGTAGATGTGATTTTGTTTCATGCAGTCTTGCATTATATTATTTTTTTACCATATAAATATATATTTTTGAAGAGAAGGAGCTATGTAAAGCTTCCATATGGGCCCATGTTGGAATTAGGGGTATATTAGTAGGTTATAAAGCATATTTGAGTTGAAGATTTTCAATATTACGTATTTAACTTTCAAGTTAAAAAGATATGCACATGCAGGAATATTTTCAGGTTAGATTGGTGCATTTTTGGAAAGTTGTGAATTTTTCAGTATAACATCTCAATTAAATTCCACATGAGACCACAAGTTGTGTTTTTATTCTACACTTTATA